AAGAATAGTCAACTATTCGAAAGCGCTCGAGTTTTGGGTCTTATTCTAAGTTTATTACACTTTATATGTGATCCTTTGTGCTAACTCTATTATCAAGATTGATATTCCACTCATGGACCCAATTTTACCACTGGTGAGTTACCTCTTCTTTCACCTTACATTGCCATTTTTGGAGATTCTATTATTAACTACCTGTATCAACACCTTTCTTACGTTAAAGACCAACATGTTTTAATTAAATCCATTAGTGGAGCCACTTCACTTGACCTTTTAGACTCTATATCTTTACTGCCACAGACTGTTAAATACCTAATTCTTCATGTTAGAACTACCGACCTCAAACGGAACTCAACGACCGCTTATGACTGTTTTAATGGCCTACAAACCTTACTGTTACATATTTTGACTCTCCGCACTGACCTTCGCGTTTGTTTCTCAAGCGTTATTTACCGTGACGTTAATAGACATACTGATGATCTCTTTCTGAGACAAGTCTGTACTACTGACACTTTAAATCACAAAATTGACAAATTCAACGCTCTCACAGATGACCTATGTCGACGTAATTCACGCTTGTCTTTCCTTTACAACACTAACTTGAAAATTGAAAGCAGGAGACATTTCTCAGAAAAGGACGGTTTACACCTTTCCTTCCAAGGAATCGTTTCCCTTTCCTGTAATTTCCACTTCTTTATTACCAACTTTATTCTTCCTCGACTACAAACTAATACTGAATACTCCAGCATAAACAACCAAACATCCCTACTCCTAAATCTCCTTCAACCTCTTCTGTTCCCTATCTCATTAAAAAAACCACAACCCATAAGAGCATACATCCGTATGCCACACCTCTACTACACTTCCAAACCATGTTTCTCCTGGAACTGTCCCAAACTCTAATTGTGTCCCTTCTTCTAAATGTCTAATCTATGCTGAAGTTACGGCTTCCACTTTTATTTCTAGTAACCTTTCCCTGAGCCCTAAGCCTGATACCCAATCCACGAAGCCTGCGTCAATCACAGCCTTTCAACCCAAAGTACATACATCTGTATGCCACACTTCTATACTTCCAAATTCCATTTCTATCACTACTTCCCCTGGAACTATTCCAAAGTCTACATTTGACCCTTCTCCTAAATTCTCTACTCATGTAGAAGTTACGGCTTCCACTCTTATTCCTAATAACCTTCTAGTAAGCCCTGAGCCTGATGACCTTCCAAACTTCACAATCTCTGATACTTTTCTCCTTCCAAAAGCCGAATATTCTGCACACCTTGAAAACAACCTTCCTTCTGGTATCCTCTATATTCCTAGCAATCCTCCACTAAGTTCCAAACCTGATGACTCTGAACCTTCACGTCCCATAGAAAAATCTTCCACTTTCCTCAAGCTAAACCTTTTCTCCATTATAACTTCCCAGTCGTATTCTGATCTCAACCGTATTAAAACTTTCAAACAACTTAGAAAACTGAACGAAATGAGACTGAGATATATTAACCATACTGACGTTTTAGAACAGCATTTACAATGTCAAATGGTACCTAAATCACTTAATCTGAATCCACCAGTTACCATAGGGGCCAATAACAAACTATTTTGTTTACAATGGAAGAAAATTCTCCATTCCACCTCAGTTGCACTTATGGAGCTCACAAAATACTTCTGCAAATCCACAGTAGCCGATCTTGATTAGAACATTTCCATTATAAATTCTGAGAACACAATTTCTACTATTGAACAAAATAAACTTGATGTTTCCAATAACAAAACAAAACAAAAAAGTCTTTCGAAAATCACACGATAAACAACAAGGAACAAACACATCATGATATTTCACATAAAAATAAAGGATTATCTCACAAAAATCTTATTGCTGTTAACAACGAAATAATAACTTCAAATAAGCCCTACTGACGCTACCTGTGAATCGTTGACCAATAACTCAAATAATACAAACTTGTGCGTTCAATTGTCTCATAAAATAAGCTCTATTCCTGACTCATCCAATTCAGCTACTTCCTTGTCTGTGAGACCCAAACCCGAAACACTTCACCCTTTGTTCTCCTGAAGAAGAAT